TTTTGGTATACCTCGTTAATTATATATATAATTAATATAATAGTATTAAATTATTTATACTCATAAATTCAAACTACTTATATTATAGTAATATTAATATAATATAATTTTTCATTGAATCTATCACTTAATCATGCTATATCATTTGAAAATTATAAATTTTCAAAATACCTTTTATGTCACATCCTTTGTACATTTTCATGAATTATATTTGCGCTGTATAATTTGTCCATATAATCGACTTACATTGTTATATCATTATAGACATATAATTAAATATTACAATATAATAATCATGAATTCAATTCAATTTAAGAATTAAAATTTGATAAACTTATCTTTTAACAAAAATTATGAAATGAATTAAAAATAATTACTATCTGTTTGTTAATTTTGTAATATTTACCTCGAGTAAGCCTCCCTCTTCTAAATCTTCATCGTCATCTTCCTCTGACACTGAAAATAAAATAAAAATTGCGAGGTGATTTAGATGATTTGTTAACGATTCTGCATCGTTAATTACAATGGTAGATTTAAAAAACATACCCTCCTCGCTATCATCTTCATTAGCATCTCCATCTCCATCGTCGTTACCATTTACTTCATCATCATCGGTGTCATCTACTTCGCGCTCGTGTTCATCGAATCTGTAATGATATATTCCTTAATAATAATAATTTAATCATCTTCATCAAATATTATAATAAAATTATTATCTTCTTTATAATTATCAATCTGAAAGAAAAATTGGCAAATTCGTCGACTCACCCATCAAGATACCGCAGACTAGGTATCAAACCGAAAACCTTATCTCTGTAATTGTCCATATTGGTTGCGTCATTATTAAAAAGATCAAGACTCTTCAGGTTCTTCAGTTCTTTCAAAGGCTGTAACGTCTCTAGATCCTTAATTTTGTTTCCGCTGAGATTGAGATGAGTTAGTTTTGGGCTTGCATGCAGAAGATTTAATCCGCTCGATATTCTGTTATCACTGAGTTCCAACTACATTAAAAAGAAGATAGAAATGATTGCTGTGCATTGTACGTACATTTTATGTTAAAAGCGAATTAATTTGAGAATAATTTTGACATACCTTTTTAAGATTCGGTAATTTTGGGAAGCCTTTTAAACTAGTGAGGCCTACATTGATGAGACTCAATGACTCTAGGGCGACGAACTCGTCCGTCAGTCCAACGATATTTGTACTTCGACAATTGTCCAGTACAAACTCGGTAATCTATAAAGGAATCACAATTATGAAAATGAAAATTATGAATGAAAATATGAAAAAAAATGCTCATCGAGTTTCAGTAATAATTAAGATGCGTCGCGACATTAATATTATTACCCAAGTTTTATCGCTTTGGCAGTCCTACGATATTTAAAAATGGAAATTAAAAATAAAAGAAAACAAATTATCCCCTCCGATCAATCTCCAGTATTACGAATGAAAGCGATTAAGTAACGGTGACCAATCGAGTGAATTTTCAAGTGTACAAAGAACTAACTATACTCTTTTCAATTAGAAACGTAATTACAATTTGTTTAATTATTAGTTTTGTGAAAATGTTATCCTTGGGAAAGTATTACGTAAAATTCGTGGCGAAATTGAAAAAAGATAAAATAATAAAAGAAAGAAAAAAAACCGTACTATAATATTTAAAATATTTTTGCCAAAAGGAATTGAAATTAATGATAATAATATTTTCAACGATTTGTCGGCTTATCCCCGGATAGCGGGTTGCGGCCCCCCCCCTCCTCCTCATCGCCCCGTCCCCAATAACCCATAAACATTATGTAATTTGATAGCGTGGCAACGATGGCAAATACTTAACATTACGTCACATATTAACAAGGCTTGTGGAACACATCGATTTGAATTTTTGTGCAACAATTCCACACATTGGTGGTCGCAATATGCGCTTACTTACGCCATGTAATTAAAACTCTCCACCGATGCTACTATCGGCAAGGCGTTTTCAATTTGAACGAAATTAACAAACAGCCGAGTAGCAGCTCTCTAGCAATGGCCATCGCTCATTTATTTCGTTGAAATATCATCTCGGTTGATATCCTCATGTTAACGAACTCCCGTTGGCAATCGTCAAGCGAGCGACTCTTGCATTCCGTGCGCCAAATCGAAGCGAGCGCGATAAAAGCGTCGAGGTCGCGTCAGGACGCGCTATTCCCCTCCCCTCATTAAAAGCGCGTCATCAGATGTTTTCATTTCCCCCGCTCGCGTTCGCTGAATTTTGTTCTTGAAAATTCGCGGCGAGTTATTGCGTGGCGAGCTTGGTTGGTAGGTCGTTTTATTGATCGTCGTGGCCATGCCATGATATGGGCCGTGGGTGGCGAGGAAGGAAGAAGCCAGGAAATAACGAGGAGGCACACGTGAACGGGTGGACGCGCTCGCGTGACAATTCGGGCGTACGACGTAGTTGTTGAATCGCCGATTTTCGTCGTGAGAATGGGAGTCGGGGACAGGTAATCGTGCACTGGTCGTCGTCGCCACACATTTCCTAATCTGGAGCGCGGGAATCGAAATTACGAGCGTTGGGGAATGATACGATGCACTTTGCAAGGGTATTTTGGCGCGAATTATTATTTATGGGCTCTTGTTTATTCAATAACTGATTAAATAGCTCGCTCGCTTTTCAAGTTACAAATTTATGGAGGCGTAGAGGTCGCTCCACAATACTCGACTAACGCGTTTCTAATCGAAACCTCGTGATTATAAGCTCTTATTGATTATTACGTGTAGGAGTTACTTGCCGTTTGTATACCAATGACGCGAAAAGCCTTGCTAATAATGCTCGGCATAGCTTCTTCCCCCTCGCATTTTAACTAATCCGCAATTATTTTGCCGATATTAACATCGACACAATGACCTTGGCCGCGACTCAATTACCAAACCGTGAAAATTTGAAGAAGAAAAGAAATGGAAAAAAAAAAAAAAAAACGCGTAAAAGATCTCGAGTATCGGGAAGTATTCGTTCCTGCCTCTTCATCTGCTAAGCATTGCGCACTTTTAAGGAGAGAATCAGGCGTTATCAGCCAAGTCCGTGGCCTACTTATTTATATAGTCAGCCCCGTCTCCGTTCGTCTCGTATCCTTAAGGGCGTCGATATCTATCTAATCTGTCCCACTGGACGGGCCGTAAAGGCGCCGCGAGTCAAAGTTTAAAAAGGCGTCGCCGGGGCTCTTTGCGTTTGGTGACGATCGATTCACCGAATCCCCTGCGTCTCGTCGTTACTTTTTTTTCTTTTTAAACTTCTTTTCTCTTTTCATTTAATAAGGCAAAGGTTTTCTCTCGCTCTCTTTGGCGACTCGCTGTTTTTGGCGTTCACTAGGCTCGAACGGCCGTTTTGGAAAACAAGACGCAGGAAGTGTGCGACAGCGAGATTCGCACATTCGAGGTCGTTAATCGAGTGAATTATATTTCAATTCGATGGCCAAATAATAAGCATTTTATTAATAATATATGAGCAGTGTCGTGATTTTGATTATAGGTTACCTTACATTACGAAGATCAACAAAAATGTTTATCTATGCAACAGTATAAAGTACCAAGACACGCGAATTTGAAAATGAAATAATTTTACGACCCCCCCCCCTTTTTTTTTTCTTGTTCTAAACGTATATACGTTTAGAAAGTGATTAAGGAACATACTCATTCGTGTCGCGTATCATTGAAATTGACGATCTTTACCACTTATCGATGCAAAATTGTAATCTATATTATAATTCGCGCATAATAATTGACAAACAAATACGTGTACTCGAGGAAATATTAGTATGAGCAATACGACAACTTGATCTCTTTCAACAGGTTTGTACTATGATTTTTTTATTATTGTTATTATTGTTATTGTTCTTATTCTGGTTCTTCTTCTTCTTCTTCTTCTTCTTCTTATTATTATTATTATTATCATCATCATCATCATCATCATCATCATTATCACCATCATCACCTTCGTTCGATTTCACTGTGCCTCAACGCGAATCACCATACGTCGTTCTAAATATTCGAGGAATCGAATATGCTAAGACGGTTGAAGTGAGCTTGTTATTTGATTTGATTATGAAAACTCTGCGATATTGAGAAATAATAAAATGAACGTCTTGGGCGTGTTGATTAATGTGAAATGTGATATTCAATCTAGTAATAAAAAGTAAAGTTGAATTTTTTCGTAAAACGAATATCGTATTGTGGCAGGGTGTATGAAAAGGTTTCGAAATAATCAGAAAGCACTGTTTGATTTATTCTTTCCAATGTTGTTAAAATAGATTTCCTTTAAACTTTATTTGTGTATATGTCTCTTTGACCTTAAGATAAACAATTAAATTAGAAGCGTATCATAGGAGAAACGGCGCGAGCTTTACTTATCAGCCAAAATTCTAATATAACATGTGCTTAAATTTTCCGTTAACTTTTACCATTATTTCAAAAAGTTATTCGTAAGTAAAATTTCAATTCCATTTTGGGTTATCTGAACTTATTTCTATTATCATCCACATTAATATCGATGAACTTAAAAATAAGATGGGCTGTCTTCCATCTCTTTGCTAAAATTATTTGGCTATTAATATCCTAATAATGCAGCTTGTACACAAACGTGATCAATATGTAATCTCAAGAAGATTGAAAGAGAAAAGGAGTAGAAGAAAAAAAATTAAACAAAATTGAATTAATGAGCATTACGCCTTTGTACGATAAAAAGGCAAAAACGAAGAGACAATAATTAAAACTTGCCAGTATTTAATAAATAATTATCGATCGACCAATTGATTTTTCCTGTTTATTCATAAATTTTTTAGTAAGTTAATAATATTTTAACCCAACGATCGATCTCTTTCGACCAATTAAATCTTGTTTCTATTGACTTGAATTATTCTATATCATTATATTTGCTTCGAATTATATTTGACGTTTCCGAACTTTTCCGAAAAGCTTAATATTTTCTAAAAATAACAATGTACGACAAATTTCTTACGCATTATTATACGCGTGGGAGGTAAAGTATCTTTCATGAATTATCAATAACAAAAAGTTCGATCTTTGATTATGAGATTAACGAGGGCCTGCGCGATCGAGTTTTATCAAAAAGGTACGTTATTTATTATGTGCAATGTAATGTGACGTTGTGAAAGTTTGAAAGTAAAGTTTATTTCCAAAATCTTTCCTTACGCATGCATCAAAGCCGGCAGGAGGACGATAATTTTCGACTTGGAATCTTATCGATCGCCAATTCCAAGCTCATCGCATTTTCCTTATCATTCTTTCATACCAATATCGATACAAGCCATTTTAATTTTTTTTTCCTTTTTCGCAAGTAAATTTTGCCCAACCATCTAATGCGAGTGACGATGAAATTTCATTTGGCAGTAGCCACATGAAATCAAATATTTCCTTAAATATTTCCTCGCGATTTTCATGGCTCTTCCTTCGCCGATCTATCAACGGCGAAATTTTTCATTCTGAACGACGTGACATTAAAAACTGGTCGAGCGGTAACATTAAATAAACGAAATCGAAATCTAATCGAGTGCGCGTGTGCTCTGAGCGACAAGGCGCAGCACCACCGTAGTTCAATGTAATGGAAATTATTGCAAGATCAAAATGCCTCGACTTTACGTAACCTTTGACTTCTCTTTCTCATCTACTCGCATCCAACAATAAATCCGGCATTTGTTATCCCATTAAACGAGACTCGTTCGTTACAACGTGATAAAAAGTCCGATGAAAAAATGCCTACTAAAAGTAAAGAAAAGAAAAAAGTATCGATTCGGTCTACTCTCTCGTCGAAAACATCATACAGGGAGCGTGAATACACGCACACTCGTGCCTCGACTCAGAACATAAGAAAAGGATACAGCCGTGTAAAAGAAGGTTGAAGAAGGAGAAGTTAATGGATAGGTGGGGGGCACCCGGTAACACGGTTACGCCACTGACAAAACGACGACGACGACCGGCGGCGTGCGCCAGAGGAATCAACGCCCACGCGTTCGCGCGACGATCGCGACGACGCAGGGACCTTCCGATAAAAAGTCAAGCTTAGGATGCCGCGGCGGCGGCGACGACTCTCGATCCTCCCCGTCCCTCCGCCACGGCAAAAGCCGTCACCAGCCATGCCGCGCGTCGTCGTCAACGTCGCCGCTACCGCTACCTCGCTCCAAGTCTCTCGGCTACCTCCTAATCTCCGAGAGCAACGCTCCAGCAGCATAATAGCACAACAACAATAAAGCGCCGAGGAGCATTCCACGAGATAAGAGGAGGACGGGCAGGTGCACGGCGTGCGCGGCACGTTTTTCAATTTCGGTCGTAGGTGCGCGCGCGCATCGCTACGGACGTGCACCTTTCGTGCGCTGTCGCACCACACAGTCAAAATGGACTCGTCCAATATGGCCGGTGAGGCTCGCACGTTTCCCGCGCCCCTGGCTAGTATCCATTTTTATGTCGCTCCCTCCCCGGCCGACGTAGCCGCGCGTAACGAATGCGCCATAAGCTAGCCGCTAAAAACACACGGCAATTGGTTCCCGATGTTGTTGCTGTTACGCGGTGGTGATGGCGATGGCGATGGCGATGGCGGTAGCGGTGACGGTGACGGTGACGGTGACGGTGACGGTGAGGATGAGGGTGAGGGTGAGGGTGAGGGTGAGGGTGACGGTGGCAGTAAAGGCGACGACGGTGGCAGTGGCGGTGGCGGTGGCAGCGGCTAGCTGTTGTGGCGACTACGGCGACGGTGGTGGCTCACGAGCTCACGCGGCCTCTCTTGGACTAATCGTGCAAGGACGCCGCCGCTGTCGCGTGCGAGGATTTACTTGTTGCTGGGAGAGCGGTCGAAGCGACCCGCTGGGGCGCTATGTGGAAATAAACCGACCCGAGATATGGGGCCAGCATTGCCAATGAGGGCCCTCGGGGTCTGCCTACGATCGGTTTTCCGCCCGCGCGTATACACATACGTAGTCAGACGCACACGCACACCTTTGATCGCGTACATGTGCAGACGATGATCGAGAACTCGCGTGTATCACGATGCACATGCGCAGTGGGGGCCTCGAGAGACGGCAGCGTGGCAGAGATTATCCTCCGGATCGTCTAGCGGTGAGTCGACGACGACGACGACGACGACGACGACGACGACGACGACGAAGTACCGGACGTGGAAATCCGGGTAAGAGGACCTCTCGTGAGGGGGATTATTGGTCCGGGAGCGAATCGTAGCTCTAGATAGTTCGTCGTTGTTGTTATCGTTGTTGTCGTTGTTGCCATTGCGATTCGAGGAATGTCGGCCGGTGCCCCGGACCTTGACCCAATGAGCGAGCTTAGAGATAATAGCACCAGCACCAGTAGCAGCAGCAGCAGCAGCAGCAGCAGAAGCAGCAGCAGCAGCAGCAGTGGCGGTACGCGGCCGACTTCCGTGGGTCAGTTAGATCGGGCAACGGACCCGAGTCCCGCCGACCTGTTCGAGTATGGGTCCCACAGGGAAGGCACCCACACCTTCGCTCCAGATCCCAATAAATTCTGAAATCGCGCGCTCACACACCTTACGAACATTATGTACTGTTTCGAGGCCATTCGCGATCGCGGCGGCACTTATCGGCGGTCGCATCCGATGACGTAGCGGCAACTGCCAACTCCTGCTGCCCCCGATATTGCGATCGCGCGGCTAGAATTTCGCCTGTCCCATACCGTTGGATGATGCGAGGAAAAACTCGATCATGGCAAAAAGGTGCCACGGCTGGGGATAGTTGCGCTTGGAAAATAATAAGCAACAACTGGGTGCAAGAGTCGAGGGTGAGAAAGAAAAGTCGTCGATTGTAGCCGGACGGGGGAGGCCACGACTAGGCTGCGCATTTACTTGAAAACTGGCTCGGCGCGAACGAACGGAGTAAAACAGAGAGGCACGGAGGAGACGCGTGTGTGCGTGTGCGTGTGGTGCGCCATGCTTCTTTTTCACGTCTTCTCTTCTCGAAGACGGTACTAGGTGATCGCGCAACCCTCTCCTCAGGGCGTACGTGCGTGGAGCTGCGGGAAGGCGAAATAGAGAAAGGGGGAGGGGGAGGTGCAACGTTGACGATGGCGATGGCGAGAAGAAGAGGGAGGAGAAGAAGAAGAAGAAGAAGAAGAAGAAGAAGAAGAATAAGAAAAAAGAAGGAGGAGGAGGAGGAGGAGGAGGTAAAGGAGAAAGAGAGGATCACGATGACGACGACGAGGACCGGATCTCGTGGGTCCCCGAGTGGCTAATAACGGATTGGGTCGTGGATGAGGCTCTGGCACTTACTTTGGCGGGCTTCCTGCCCCGTTTCTCCAGCTCTATCCGCTTCTCCATGCCGCCGTGTCTCTCGTGTCTATGGCTCTCTATCTATCCTCGTATCGTCCGTCGTCGTTCGTCGTCGGACCTCGGCGAGGTCGGTTGCTCTCTCCCCCACTGCCTCCTCTCTTCACCGTCCCAACAGCCGGGCGCGCACTTGCACTGGCTCACGCGCCGGAACGACGCGCGCTATCGCCACCACAACCCCCTTAACGGCCTGCGAGACCTTAGCGTTTAGTCGTGTCCTTGATGCACGTTCTTCTGCTTCTGCAGCCCCCCTACCTTTATAGCCGCGATTGTTATTGCGAGTCCACGATCATGAAGAGGCAGCAGAGCTAGCGGCAGCAGCAGCAGCAGCAGCAGTAGTAGTAGTAGTAGTAGCAGCAGCAGCAGCACCACCACCACCAGCAGCAGCAGCAGCAGCAGCAGCAGCAGCAGCAGAAGTAGCAGTATCAGTAGCAGGAACAGCAGTAGCAGCAGTAGCAGCAGCAGCAACAGCAGCAACAACAAAACGGCGAAACAAAAAAAAATAAATAAAAAAGGGCCTCCCGCGAGGATGACCCTAGCCGTCCATACGCGCCCTGTAATATCACGGATACGATGCGCGGTGCCGTACGCGTATGTTTTATGTGTGCATGTACGCACGAGGAAGCGCGTCAACGCCGACAGCGAACCGACTTGTCTCGTCTCTTTGCCTTCTACTTCTCTCGCTCCCTCTCTCTCTCTCGCTCGCTGGCTCAATCCCCCTCTCCCTCTCGCGCGCGCGCGCGCGCGCTCACTCGCTCGCTCGCTCTTTGGCTTTTGCTTGTCTTTTCGTGCACACTGCCGTTGCCGCCGTCGCCTTCGCCGCCACCGCCGCTGCCGCCACCGCCACCGCCACCGCCACCACCGCCGTTGCCGCCGCCGCCGCCGCCGCCGCCGCAGCCGCCGCAGCCGCAGCCGCCGCTTTCCGTTCTTCCCCGATTACCAACTCGTTTCGTGTGTTTTGCACAGGCGGTGCGCAACTCTGGTAGTGCGATGAGCGCGCGCATGAGACGAAGAAGATGGACGAAGAAGGAGGCGCGGAAGGAAAAACGAAGGAGAGAACGAGGGACGAAGAGATAGACGCGCGTGCGCCTACGGAATATCGTGGAACGCGGTGGCGGTGGCGGTGGCGATTGCGCTGGCGACGATAGGGGAGGAGGCAGGCGGGCAGCCTCGAGAGAACGGCGATAGAGCGCCTGTATGCGACGCTGCTGGACACACGCATACACGCTCGCGCGCGCGCCAGAGATTACGGCTCTCGCGTGGACCTCGGTGGGGATGTAGAGGAGGGGTAGAGCCCGTGTGGCATAAATAATAATGCGCGACGATTCGTTGCTTTTCTTCCTTCGTCTCGTTGACTGTGTTTGGCGGGGGGGGGGCCTCGTGTGCGCACGTCGCCCTTTTTAAGTAAAGTGCGCCTGCCGTTGCAACCTTACCGTCGATCGACGGCTGGTTTCACCCCGAGCCACCCGCGCCCCGACGACGCTCCACTCCACGACCAGCGGCCGATATTTTGGCTGCGTCGGTGGGGTAGCAGCGATGCAACTAGCTCCAACCGAGCAGCCGGTATGACCAGCGATCAATGGCCGGGTGAGCGGACGCGTGTCGGGGATCGTCTATACTCGATTAATTTTATGTGTCGTCGTTGTCGTCGTTGACCGTTGAGGTTACCCATCGGGTAATGCGTGCACGGCGACACGGGGTGGCGCGCGCACACCAGCCAATGCCGCCGGGTGGGACGCGAGGAAAGCGTTGGGGCGCGTATGCACGGGCGTTCGTAAGTGCCGAGGGCGGCGAGGTGCTGACGCGTCGCGTCGAGTAGCCGAAGCTGCGGCGGCTGGAGGATGGGATAGGGGCGCCGCAGCTTGTTGGGCTCGTCTCCGTTTTCGGCAAACCGAAGGCTTTCGAAAACTCCCGGAGACCGTATTGTCTTTGGTTTTATCAGCAGCAACCTGGCATCGCACGTCGGCTATTGTCGGCGATCACGAAGGCATAGTTGGCGCGCTGGACGGGCGAAAAAGGAAAGTAGGGGGGCAGTGGGCAAGAGTCTTGCGGAAAAGCGTTGGTACTGCAGGACGTTGGTGGCTATTGCTAGCAAAGAAGGGGGGCGGGGGGAGAGACTATCTCGGGTGGCGGGTCAACGTGAAAATCTCGCTAATGATGTTGCTTAAGAATTATTCACGTTTGGTATTTAGTGGGTGGGAAATAGGATAGAGCGTGACGCGATTGGTGTCGATTGAGGTGAAAGCGATCGTCGACGCTACGAAATGGATGACCAAGGGTTTGAAGAAAATTGAGAGGAAATAATCGTACTGTTGTCGAAGGAGGGTCGACGATGAGGGGGAGGGGGAGAGGAAATCGGTGGCGGCGATGACGGTCGTATCGAATGAGCTGTGGGTTGGCGAGCGGTGTTAAAGAGAAATTTAAGATAGTCCGATAATGCTCGATATTATTAAACGAATGTACTTGCTACAAGTTGGCTAGATTAGCTTAATATTGCGCATTGTGACGTAAGATGGTAAGGTATTGGTAAAGCTGAATATGATAATGCAGGTAGGTAAAGACTTAGTTGATGAAGGAAAATGAATGGGGATTTTTTTTAGGAATGTAGGAGAGAGAGAGAGAGAGAGAGAGAGAGAGAGAGAGTGTTGGAAATTTCGAATAGTCAAGAAATTAATAGGGACTAAAATAATAAACGAAAATTTATGTTTGACGATAAATACAATGTAATTTTTTATTATTTTTGTATTGTATTTTTTTCACATCGTTTTTACTCAATTTAGTTAAATTCCTTCGTTGATCGGATTATTTACTAAATTGCATTGTTATTAAACATTTTAATTATAAAACAACCATATGTTCGTAAAAGTTTGTAGCACGAATGATGTCATTTTCTTGATTTGAAAAATTTAAAAAATCTTCACAGCCATACATAAATACACACATGGGTGCGCGCATACGGAGGTATGAAATTTTTTAAATTTTAACAGTTTAGTGTAATAGCTGCAAGATTGAAGAATAAATCGATACATAATATAATTAATTATTCGATATTATTTCATTTTGCACGGATTATTGATCCGTACTGCTTTTAAGAAATTCCATTTTCATATTAATAAAAGCGTACATTCTCTAATTGAAATAAATTATCTACCATTTTGATTCTTATAAAGCTGAGAACGTAAAAGAACAGCACTATAATTATTACAATAATGGTAGATATTTTCTTAAGTCTGTTTACTTATCTGGTCTTGATAACAAAGAAAACTTTATTATCTAATTTATTTATTATAATTACTTGGGAAAGAAGAATCACGCCTTAAGGCATTTTCAATCGAATTTCTTGCATTACAATATAATGTATTCGTGTATATGATTTTATTTCAATTTTTTAAAAAGAACTTTAACATTTTAAATTATATATATATATATATATATATATATATATATATACATAAAATTTGCGTAATTAAAAATCCTATTAAAGTAATTCATTTACCTTGCACATTCGCAAATGCATTGAGTAATCAACTTTTTAATAGATTGAAAAAATAAAGCTTGCAGCAATATAAAATTTTATTAAAAAAATATTTGTAACATTTTTCGTACGTTTGTACATTGTGATGATGACAACTTTGATAACGGTAATATTAATAAAATAGAAATAATATTAATGATAATAATAATAATAATAATGATAATAATAATAATAATAATAATAATAATAATATTAATAATGAAGTGACAATTATAGAACAAACCTATTATACACCAAAGCATCACGTTGTTCGCTTGCTTACTTAAAAACTAAAGATCTCAAATTGTAATTGCTTAAATTTACATACGATTTTGATAAAATAATAATGACTGTACATCACTGTACAACATAACAAATCCATAGCTTAAAGAAACATGCTTGCTTGATTAGTACTACTTAGTAGTTACTTACAACATTAACTCAGCCACTGGGAAAATATACATGTTACATTGTACAAACTTACTTGATACAAAAGTGACAAGATAAGACCACATACATGAACGTCGTGTCTTAAACGAAAGACAAACACATAATCGTTCTGGACAACCCAAAATAACGCGATCGTACTGGATCAGATCCATCAAACCTTTTTACATTTTTAAGTATGCTTTATCGAAATAACAAATTTAGCTTAAAACCTTGAAAAATAATCGGCATAATTCGAACAGTATTTTTACTCGTATCATTAAATCAATAGAGACGATCATTGAATTTTGTAGAATAATATTTTACTTATTATTAAAAGTCCAAGAGTGATTAATAGCATTGCTTGTTTGGTTTTTTTTTCAATTTTATTTAAAGCAAAGACACATTTTGAAGATTTTAATAACTGCTAATTAGTAATTAAAAAATAGGTTTGGCTACTATTTCAAAAAGGCACCATTTGTTTATTTATGTAAAATTTTTGTTAATATTAAAAATGTAAAAGTTACGGTATGTATAACTTATATAACAGACATTGCTTTTTTTTCTATTTTTTTTTTTTTGCATTAAGTATTTAAACATTAAACTTCTTTAATGAATATAAAAAAGAATCGTAATATTATCACCAATTTGTTTTAATACTGATTAAAATTTTATACGCAAGATTTTCATATTTTATTTTGCTTACATTATTTCAGGATTGTTCTTGTAGCGATTGAAGGACATCCGGCACATCCTGAAGCCATATTAAATTTTAATATTTAATAGCATTTAAAAATCCAATTCCGCGTGTGAAAACGATGTGGACGATTTCCATCGATCTTAAGAGTTAATTATTGTAAATTATTATTACTAAATTATACATAAACAAACGTCTTCCTAATTTTTATTAAAAAGTGTATTTTTCACATCACTACATATGATAAATCTATATTGCGATAATATATTTTGTATAATTTAGCAATCCAGCATGAATTGTAATAAATGTAGTTAGGAGCTCCCCCCCCCCCATAATATTACCAAATATCAGATTTAAAACAAAAACTAACAATTTTTTTTCTCCTTTTAATTTACAACTATCGGTATTACGGATTAATTTTACAAAAATAAGGTTTAACAAAAATTACAACATAAATAAACGAAAAGTGGCATATTTAGTAACTTAAAAACATGTTGTACGCTCTAAAACCTAAGAGTCGAAGATACACAAAGTGAACTATGGCCTTCCACTGACGGTCGTGTGTCCTAAGGTGGCAGCACCATCAGACAACGACCTCTTTCGTGGTCTGGAACACTGCGGGGATGTTCTTATTTGTATATGACAAACCGCACTAGGATTGTCCTCCATCATACAGTCATTTGCATTTTGTTTCTTCCCCCCCGATGAGATCTCCTGATGCGTTGGCGAATTTTTTCTCTTAAGACTGCTGGACTCTTGCTTGGTAGAGGCGACGGAGGAACGCGTCTTTCTCGGCTGATGGTCCAGAGTGGCCTGCATTCTCTCTAAAGCAGCTCGAAGCGGTAAAAGTCCAACAGCGAACGGTATTTCCGCGCTCGACGAGTACTCGAGGAACTCCTCGCCGACCTCGCCGTCCTCGGCCACGTCCGACATGTCACCCCACAAGGCTCGATTAACCGAGGCCGTCGTGTTTGGCTTCACGGTCTCGCTTACGTGATAATGCTCCGGTATTTCAAGCTTCTCCAAGTTCACAGGATTCGGCAGTTTGTCCGCCGGTTTTGGCTTGCTCATGTCCTTCTCGCTCTTGGGCAGATGATTTTTCGTCGTGCATCGTCCCACAAGTTTCGATGCTTTGCGCAATGGTCGCGTATGATTCTTTCTTGCTGGCTGTGTCGTTAATATAACTTTTACGTTTGGAACTCGGCGCTCTAGCTCTTTCTTGCGTTTCGTACGGGAGAAGAGCTTTATATTCGTGCCCGATTGGCTCTTCTTGTCGTCCCGTAATTTGGACTTCAATCTCGGCGGATAAGTCTCGTCGGTCTCTTGTTGATTAAGCCGTACGCTCCTCCTAAGCACAGGTGGCCTATCCTCTTCTTCCACGTTATCCTTCTCGTCTATTCCAGGAGCCGCGTGGGTTCGCGTGTTCAGCAGCTCGAACGTATTAGAGGGGTAAAAATCAGTCAGCGAGCATCCAACAATGGACTGTATACTCTCACTATTGAAACTCAAAAGGTAATCCGAACTCTCGGTGTCTAAATTTGTTTTTAGAGTCACCGGTGTATCATCGCTCGTTGACTCGTCGATTAGATCGATACGATTAGAGGTGAGGGGTTGGGGCAGTGCTTTTTCAAAATGAGCATTTCTTTTCGAAGTATTATTACCGTCTACCGCTTTGCGCTTCTTGTGCGTGTACACCTTGGAACACTGTCCGACCCGATTGACCTCGTTCTCTGTGCATTCGGGCTTAAGGTAGACTTGAGAGCGTTCCTCGCTCTTTGTACAACCGTTATTGACAAAGTCGCAGCATCTCTCGTATAAAGTTGCGTCCGACTCCTTCTCGCAGTGCTCGGAATCGAGGGTCGACGACGAGTCGCTCACCGAGTCCACGGACTTCTCTCTATGAGCGAGCTTTTGCCTCAGTGCATTATCTTTGGCCAATTCGCCGTTTCTATGCAACGAAGAATAGGGAACTGCTTTGCCTTTAACCAGACCGCAAGGCTCCTCGTATAAGCAACGCTCGTTCGAGCTGTCGAGAAAGTTGCCTGACATGCTCTCCTCGAGGTAGTTTCTCTCGGACTCGGAATCGCTGCTTTCCGATGCATCAAACGAGGTCTGGCCATTGCTGGTGTGCTTATTCGTAAAACTTACACGAATTCCATTGTCGTCGTTATTCATCAGCCCGTTCATTCGACCATTCCCTCCTACATCCTTTCCCAGATATTCTTCGTTGTTGTCATTGTGATCTTGGGTATGAGAGCCTACCATTTTTTCCACAAGAGACTCTAGCTCTTTTACCTGAAATTGAGCACGTTGTTTAATACGTGGGATGATTATCGAGGATGCGACGATTATAATATATATAATGATTGTATGACGTACTTTAAATAATCGAGCTGCGGCCAGCAGCGATGGCAAATGAACGTGTGACACGGTTGTCTCACCGCAATACATGAACTCAATCATGGCCTTAAGAATGCTAAAGTTTAAATCTCTAAGAAGTATAACTGGTTCTGGACCAAGATCTTCTGCCAATATTTCCTAGTAAAATAATTAGACACTTTATAGTATTAAGGATTTTATTACATTAATTGAGTATGAAGTTAAAGTCTACGTTGATAAACAGGCATTTCCCTAACTATATGCAGGCAGTTTTTTTTTTAATTAAAGCGTATATTTTATTATAAGACATAAGATTGTCTCAATTTCATGGATTCTATAACATTGGTTCACATATAATTACGTAATAATATCTAAGCTAATGAGAATGATATCGTAAGGCTCAAGCTGTTGTACGTACTTCAAAATAAAGACTGCAGGAAGCCAATACAAGCTTATGCACTCTTAATTTTTGTTCTTCGCATATTAATGTAACATCCACCAGTGCTTGTCGGGCAAGGAGTCCGCTAAACCTCTCTGTAACATAAGCTGCATGGCCGGGCCACTGCAAAACGTATTCTCTGCCACTTTCCACCATGATAAATAACTGGATAATCTAGAAAAACATTGCAAGAATAAATTTTATAAATTTTGGAACCTGGGTGTCAAGCATGCAAATTATCGTTAGATATTTGAGCGTATAAAATTCTTTTACGTAAAGTACAATAGAATTTTCCTTGTTTAAAAATAGAACTACTACAGCTTATTAACGTTGGGTCATTAAAAATTATTATCGTTATGTATCGCAAAACTTGAGCAAATTCTAAATTAAATAAGGATTCGGCGTTTAATTAAGTTAATCGCTTTAGTAGCATTAAAAATTAAGAAAAAAAAAAAAAAAAAAATATGTATCTTACAAAGATTAATGTGATTTTCTATAAATAGTACTTGCTCTTCACTAAAAGTTAAGTCTTTTAATATATTCTAGGATACAATGCTAAAATTACGACTAAACTTGTCTAACGGACTAATGTTGTATTTATCGCGACTATTTGAGCTTATTAATTAGTACAATTAATTATTATTTACATAATAACCTTAAATTTTGGGTTAGGCGGAGGAGGCTCCTTTCCTTCGCAATGATATCGATCACATTATCTCCTGTATTACAAAAGCTTAAAACATCTCCTCAATGTACACGAACAGATTTTTTCTTTCTTTACTTTTTTTTTTTCTTTTATGCGGATAAACAAATAAACTAATGCTTATGTTGAAAGGAAAAAGCAAGAAGGAAGTTGTAACATTTACAATTGTATAAGACTGTACCACAAATCCATTGTATTAAAAGCTGAACGGCACGCTAAGACAGTGGGTTTATAATTTCCGGATTCTACTTCGATAAGGGTTGACTTATGAAGTAAATCATTCCACACATTGAGCGAGCTTCTCTCAATGATTTGGCCTTAGCTGAATTCAGGGAGATCCAGAAATTGCCATGAATATGTTTTAAATTTAACCCAAAAATTTTGTCGATCCACTCTGGCTACACAACGTAGCATTCAACATTGGCAGTCTGCACGTTATTTGTGCGTAGATTACGAATTTCTGACACAAAATTCGTAGCGATGGGCAAAGAATCCAGATTTTTATCATCGCTCTTCCCAAAGTCTCGTTCATGGACAAGCAGCTGCTCTGACATGTTCGCGATAGCCTTAGAAAGTAAACAAGAACCATTAGAGCCACTAGATGTTTTTCGATATCGACGAAAATAAATGCTTGGGTAACGCACGAACTCGCCTCTCAAGAGTCCCACTTTTTTCCTCCTATGGAACCGCGTCTATATTCGCTTGTATGCTCGCATGTACGTGCGCGCGTGTCGCTACACGGACGAGGTGTATTAAAAACAATGAATATTCTGGAGGCCAGATTGAACGGGTGCTGTTAGAGCAGGGGTCGTGAGGGGCAAGGGACAAATGACAGAGGGAGCGGGGGAGGGGTGATAGAGGAGGAGGAGGAGGAGGAGGAGGAG